GGCCAAAGATGGAAACCGCGGTTGAGAATTTCTTTTAAAACCTTTATGGAGCCCTCCTTGCCCCCCCCCGCCCAGTCCTACAAGGGGGGTGGCAGAGGTGCTTAGTGGTGAGGGAAACTGTACCCAGAGGAGGAGGAAGGAGGAGAGGAGGAAGAGTTGGTTTTATACCTCACCTTTCACTTGGAGTCTCAAAGAGACCCGCTGACAATCTCCGTTCCCTTCCCCTCCCCACAACAGACACCCCCTGCGAGGTCGGTGGGGCTGAGAGAGCTCTTGACAGAAACTGCTCTTTTTCAAGGACAGCTCTTGTCAGAACTACGGCTTGCCCAAGCTGTAAGTGGTGGAGTGGGGAATCAAATCCGGTTCTCCCAGATTAGAGTCCGCCGCTCTTTAACCACTACACCAAACCGGCTCTCATGTGGGAGATGGGGGACCCATCCCCAGGGCCGTGGGCCACACCGGCGTGCTCAGAATGTGTGCAGACCTCCCCATTGTGCCACAGCGTGAAGCCGCAATGTGGCACCTGTGCATGAAAACGGCTTCTCGCGATGCACTTCTTCTTTCCACAATGGAACAGTTTTCTGGGATGCAGCGATAGGGAAACAGCCCTGCCAGTTGGGCCTCTGCCCGCGAGAAGGAACGGTGCCCAAGCGTTGCAGGCGACGGCGATCCGTTCCCGCCGAATCCCGCCAACTCTTCTGCGGCAGGGCACAGGTGGCCATCCCCGTTAAATCCATCCCACTAATTCCTCCGGGCCGGAGACACGCCCCTCTGCCGGATCCGCAGTGGCAGGGAGGGAATGTGGAGCAGGCAGGCTTTGGAGATTAAGCGCCGCGTTGGAGGGGCAGCCGTTCCCTTTGGCTGGAGACTGGTTTTTTTCTGAAAAGTGGGGAAGGCTCCCTCCGCTGTGCCTGCGGACATGCTTTGTGTGCCTGTGTGAAGTGCCATCAGGTAGCCAGGATTTTGTGGCTTTAAAGGTCAACACCAAAACCTCGAACCCGATCTGTCCCTCAGTCTGGAGCCAGTGCAGCTGGTAGAGCACCGGTTGGATATGGGCTCTGAAAGATGTTCCTGTCAGAACTCGCACAGCTGCATGCGGGACCAGTCACAATTTCCGGGTCAGTCTCAAGGGATGCCCTGCGTAGAGCGAGTTACAGTAGTCTAACCTGGAGGTGACGGCTGCATGGAGCACTGTGGCTAGATAGCCAGTCTGGTGTAGTGGTTAAGAGTGACGGACTCTACACTGGAGAAACGGGTTTGATTCCCCACTCCTCCTCCACATGCAGCCAGCTGGGTGACCTTGGGTCGGTCACTGTCCTCTCATGAGCAGTCCTCAAAGAGCTTTCTCAGCCCCACCTGCCTCACAGGCAGTGTTCCCTCTAAGCTATGGAGTCTTGTGAGCAAAAATTCTACTGTGTGAGCTACTGGCATTAAAGTTCTGAGCGACTGATCTTGCTGCTGCATAAAGGCTCTGAGACGCCTTTGGGTAGTGAAGGGCGGGGTATGAATCCAATCTCCTCCTCCTCCTCCTCCTCCTCCTCTTCTTCATTGACTCAGTTGCTGGAATGCTTTGGAGGGTAGCCTTATACCCTGCCGAGGTCCCTTGCCGCCCCAAACCCTGCCCTCCCCAGACTGTACCCCCAACATCTCCAGAACTTTCCCAACACGTCGACACGGGCTACGGCCTTGCAACAGTTTTGTCTCTTTCTCCAAGGTCCAGGCAGAGGGCAGCGCTAGCAGAGAGGGGATCACCACGATACCCGCTGGTACGCAGGGTTCCCCAGGGGGCAGTCCTCTCCCTGATGCTATTTAAGATCTTGACGCACCCCCTCAACAAACTGGTGTGGAGATTTGGGCTTGGGCATCACCAGTATGCCGATGGCACTCAGCGCTTCATCTGTTGATGAGCGGCCATCTGAATGGCCCCCCCCCCCGAAACTCTGGTCAAGGGTCCGGAGGCCGTGGCTGATTGGCTGAAGCAGAGCTGGCTGCAAGTAAATCCATCGAAGACGGAGGTCCTGTGGCTGGGCTGGGGGGACGCGGGGTAATGCTCCCTCTAAGCTGTGGAGTCTTGTGAGCAAAAATTCTACTCTGTGAGCGACTGGCAGTAAAGTGGTGAGCGAGGGATTTGGCTCCTGCATCAATTAGTTTGCTCTGGAGCCCTCCTTCCTGAGCTAAGACAAAAAATGTGTGAACCGGAGGCTAAAAGATGGTGAGCTGGCTCACACTAAGTCAGCTTAGAGGGAACACTGGTGGGGATGCCAACTCCCGGCTTGTGACGGTGTGCCATTAGCCCCTGCACCATCTGTCAGGAGTTTGGGGGTGATCCTGGACGCCTCTCTTTCAATGGAGGCTCAGGTCAGGGATGTGGTGAAACTGGCGTTTTACCACCTCCCCCAGGTAAAACAGTTGGTTCCCTTCCTGTCTCCCTCTGATTTGGAAGAAGAGGAGGAGCTGGATTTATACCCCGCCCTTCACTCGGCGTCTCAGAGTGGCTCACAATCTCCTTTCCCTTCCCCTCCCCACAACAGACACCCTGTGAACAGTGTTCCCTCTAAGCTGAGCTAGTGTGAGCTAGCTCACAGGGTTTTAGCCTCCAGCTCACGCATTTTCGCCTTAGCTCAGGAAGGAGGGCTCCAGGGCACACTAATTGATGCAGCAGCCAAATTGCTCGCTCACCACTTTCATGCCAGCCGCTCCCAAAGCAGAATTTTTGCTCACAACGCTCCACAAGTTAGAGGGAGCATTGACCTACAGGCCCCCCCTGGAGGTTGGCACCGCCGTCCCAACAGGCCTGATCAGTTCCTCCTCCCTAGACTGTTTCTCCATGTATGCTGTGGTCCTGATCCCAGCTGAGCCATTCAGGAGAGCCCACACCTCGCGTGTCACTGTGTTATATCTGACACAGGGTAGGGACAAGGGGCGTTCCCCCTCTGCAGTATTTGGGAATTAATTAATTAATTCATTTTTATTTATTTGATTCAATTTACACCCCGCCCTCCCCACCTAATATCAGTCCACCTCGCAATGCTGTTTTGAGGACTGCAGCACCGATGTATGCCGAGGGCTCTATGAATGTCTTCCCATTGCTGTGGAGTATTTAATTTGCAAAATGCTCTTTCCAAACCTTCAATAAATGGAAATAGCCTTACTTAACGGTGGAACCGTCATTTCAGTCCCTTGCGTAAGCTCCTAGCACCCTCTAGTGGTAGAACTGGAGGTTGAAATATATGTTTCCCCAGTGGACTAGCCCAGTTAACCTACAGTTTCGTCTGTCTATCTCTATTTGTCTGTTTATCCTTGGAAAAACTGGGAAGCAGTGATGTGTTTCTGGTGTGGGGGCAGGGATCTCAAACCAACAGTAATGTTAATAAGTTTTGATCAGGACCTCTTCCCTCTGTGATTCAACAACCATCTACAACAACCAGTGGCCTCTCTTTTATGAAAGTTGTAAAGTACAGACAGACTCTGGGTTTTTCCAATATGCCCTAAAGCCAGTTTGGTGCAGTGGTTAAGAACGGTGGACTCTAATCTGGAGAACCAGGTTTGATTCCTCACTCCTGCACATGCAGCCAGCTGGGTGGCCTTGGGTCAGTCACAGTTCTCTCAAAACTCTCTCAGCCCCACCTACCTCACAGGGTGTCTGCTGTGGGGAGAGGAAGGGAGGGTGATTCTAAGCCTCTCTGCGACTCCTTTGGGTAGTGAAGTGCGGGGTATAAAAACCAACTCATCATCTTCCACACACACCCTCGATTTTTTTTGTGTCTAACGTCCAGCCCCATGAAGATGTCTAGGGAACCCACCTGAAAGACTGTTGTATTTTTTGTGATATTTGGTTGGTCTTGATAAGAAGGTATTACACTGCCATTGTTTTGCGATGTGTATCCCCCTTAGGAGTCTGTTGAAATTAAAGTCACTTTTCAGAGGTTGGGTCAGATTGTGCGCCCAACTGCTTAGCTCTTGGTTTGGTCTCTGGAGGGTGATTTGGGGACGGCTGCTAGCAGATTTGTGGAGAAAGAAAGCACTCCTTTCCAGTGCTCCCTCTAAGCTCAGTTACAGTGAGCCAGCTCACAGTTTTTTTAGCCTCCGGCTCACCCATTTTTGCCTTAAGAACATAAGAACATAAGAAAAGCCAATGTTGGATCAGGCCAAAGGCCCATCTAGTCCAACACTCTGTGTCACACAGTGGCCAGAAACACCAGGGGCCATCAGGAGGTCCAGCAGTGGGGCCAGGACACTAGAAGCCCTCCCACTGTGCCCCCCCCAAGCACCAAGAAGACAGAGCATCACTTGCCCCAGAGTCCCTATCTATACCTTGTGACTAATAGCCACTGATGGACTTAGCTCAGGAAGGATGGCTCCAGAGCAAGCTAATTTCTGCAGCAGCCCAATCGCTCGCTCACAACTTTAATGCCAGGAGCTGACAAAGCAGAATCTCTGCTCAGAAGATGCCACAGCTTAGAGGGAGCATTGGAGGTGACCCCCTCTGTGTGTGTGTGTGTGTGTGTGAGAGAGAGAGAGAGAGAGAGAGAGTGAGTGAGTGAGTGAGTGAGTGAGTATTCCCTCTAGGCTGAGTTAGTGCGAGCTAGCTCACAGTTTTTTAGCCTCCGGCTCACACATTTTTGTCTCAGCTCAGGAAGGATCCCTCCAGAGCAAACGAATGTATGCAGCAGCCAAATCGCTCGCTCACAACTTTAATGCCGGGAGCTCACAAAGTAGAATTTTGGCTCACGAGACTCCAGAGCTTGGGCGGAACATTGACCATGCCCCCCCAGTCTCTAAGCTTTGCCCTCTTCTGGCTGTGTTACGCCATTCTCAGCTCATTGACTTCAGTGGATTTAGGAGGGTTAACTCCACCGCAGATGGCACCGTAAGAGGCTGAGAATGGTGAATCCCCTTCGTGTTGAAGCCCAGGTCCGCACACCCGGAGGCTTCCAGCTTCGAGATGTGCCACAGCCTCTCGCTTAACCCCTCCGTGTTTGTTTTGTGTTCCCTTGCAGGGATCTTGTTTACAATGCTGGTGTTCGGGCCAGCCTGCGGTTTCATCTTGGGCTCGTTCTGTACCAAAATCTACGTGGATGCTGTCTTCATCGACACAAGTAAGCAGACTTTTCTCATGAATTGCAAGCGGGGGTGGGGGGATATATGGCTTGAATTCCACGGGATGGTGCTGGGGTGGAGAGAAAAGGGTGGGCGCCTACTGGAAGATGTGGAACAGGAGGTGCAGCTTCAGTTCCGTGTGCCCGATAACTGTGAGAACGGTTTGCCAGCTTTTCAGTGGCACACGGTTCTTCGTCAGGAGTGAAACCCTTAACCTGGGGTCATTTCGTAGAAAAAGAGGTGCAGGAGCTCATTAGCATAACTCATTAGCATAACTTATTTGGATATGCCACACCCCCTGACATCACCGGAAGTTGTCAGAAGGCACCACTGGACTGTTTTGGATTGCTAGGTATTTGGGGGGGGGGAACCTGCAGATCTGTCCTCACAGAGGAGGGAGAGCTTGTACCTGAATAAAACTTGGTCTTAAAGGTGCCACTGGACTGTTTTGGATCGGGGGGATGGGGGGGGCCTCTGCAACTTACCTGGCTGCTTCTTGCTCTGACTGTGGGCTGCTGGGAGCAGGGGGTGGGGCTTGTTGCATGTGCCCTCCCCCTGGGCTCTTTACTGCCGGAGCTCCGCTCTTGTGCGCTCCTGCAGGAAATGACCCCTGCCCTTAACCCTCAAAATGGGTATTCACTGCTAAACAGGGTCCTAAGTGGACTGAACCCCAAGGAATTCCTAAAACCTTACTGCCGAAACAGGGAGGGAAACCAAAATTTAGAGGAGAAGCAAAACACACATGGCCTTAATTTCTCATTCAAAAGCTGCCATTTGGTCAGCGTGGTAGAGATGGGGGAAATGCTCCACCAAATGTCTGTATTTGGTTCACACACACAATGTTCGGTTAGAAACAGGAAATGCCAAGTTTCTGATCATCTTGGTTGCCAAGATGTGCTTGGAAGCACATGGGCAGAGCCCACTGAAATCGCAGACGCTAGAGAGGTGGCTGGAACAGTGGTCGTGGGCAGTGGGTTAGGCAGTCAGCGGAACCAGAATAAATTGTGCCCAGTGCTGCAAAATCACGGATGAAATTGTGCCAAGTAAGAGCAGTTGGACCCATGTACCTCTACATGCTTAGCTTATTCAGGGCACAGGATTCTGCACGTCTGAGCACAGAATTTGACTCCCTTGATGCCAGATTTTATTCCATGTTTTAAATCTGGAGGGTGCAAGGTGTGACTCCAGGGGAACGTTGGTGGGAATCTGGGGCCAGGTTGGTTGTAACGAAGATACCGTTTGCATCCTACAGAATAGGCTGTGAACGGCTTAAAAAGTGGACCGATATCCATTGGGAGGGACCGCATAGATAAGTTATTTTTAATGGAACCACACAGAAGAGACACAACAGACACCCCGTGAGGTAGGTGGGGCTGAGAGAGCTCTTTCGAGGACCGCTCGTGAGAGAACAGCTCCGAGAGAACTTGTGACTGACCCAAGGTCACACCAGCAGCTGCATGTGGAGGAGAAGTGGGGAATGAAACCCGGTTCTCCCAGATTAGAGTCCGCACTCTTAACCACTACACCAAACTGGAGGATGTTAAAACATCTCTCCCATAAACCTGATAAATAAATTGGAAAGCCCTAATTGTCTTTATCTAAACAAGGACGCAAGGCCTCCGATTTGCAAAGTTGTCCTGGGGCTGCCCACGAACGGTGGTACCAGTGTGGTGAAGTAGTTAGAGTGTCAGACTAGGATCTGGCAGACCCAGGTTCGAATCCTAATTGTGCCACGGAAGCATCTGCGTGGCCTCGGGCCAGTCCTACATTCTTAGATGAACCTCCCTCGCAGGGTTGTTGTGAGAATAACACAGAGGAGAGGAGAATGACGTGAGCCACTTTGGGTCCCTGCTAGGGAGAAAGGTGGGGTAGAAATGAAAGAAATACATCGACACTTTAAGCTCCCTGGCCTTGTCAGATCTCATCAGCTAAGCAGGGTCAGCCCTGGTTAGTCCTTGGAGGGGAGATCCCCCGGGAAGTCCAGGGGCACTACGCAGAGGCAGGCCAGGGCAAACCACTTCCGAACATCTCTTGCCTTGAAAATCCTACAGGGGTTGCCATAAGTCAGTTGGTGTCGTGGTGAAGTGCGCGGATTCTAATCTGGGGGAACTGAGTTTTCCCTCGGATGGTCGTGGCCCCACCCCGAGCGTGCCCGGCGTCCTCACATCACTTCCTGGTAATATGCACATGGGGGTGGGGTTCCCCCTGGGGCCCGATCCGCCGGCGGCAGGGAACGGGCCTCTGGGGCGGGGCCCCCTGGGGGGACTTGGCAAGCCTACCGCAGCATATATATGATAAAGATTGAGACGCTTATGAGCAAGGCAGACCAGAGGTCACATTAACGTAACTGTTGCCGCCATCCCTAAGTATTCGTTTACAACCAGCTGGCACTTTAGGATATCGGATTGTTTTTATATGGTTGACAAGCTCGAGCGTGTCCAGAAGAGGGCAACCAGGATGGCGAGAGGGTTGGAATCCAAGTCTTAGGAGGAAAGGCTGAAAGAGTTGGGTCTGTTCAGCCTGGGAAAGAGAAGGCTTAGAGGGGACACGATTGCAGTCTTCAAATATTGGAAGGGGTGCCATGTAGAAGATGGAGCGGATCTATTCTCTCTTGCTCCGGATTGCAAGACTAGATCTAACGGGTGGGAATTACAAGGGAGTCGATACCGGCTAAATATCAGGAGAAACTTCCTAACTGTAAGAGTGGTTGAGCAGTGGAACAGACTGCCTCGGGAGGTGGTGGATGGTCCTTCGCTGGACGTTTTCAAGCGGAGGCTGGACGACCATCTTTCGGGTATGTTGCAGGGCTATCTTTCGGCTGTGCTCCTGCAGAGTGCAGGGGGTTGGACTGGATGACCTGCAAGGTCCCTTCCAACTCTAACATTCTATGATATCTATGTTGTATTTTCTTTGTAAGCCACCCTGAACCTGCTCTGGCAGGGAGGGCGGGGTATAAACCGAATAAATATATAAATAAATAAATAATAGATTGGATTTATACCCCGCCCTTCACTACCCAAGGGAGTCAGATTCGATTGGCTATCGAGCAAGGGAAACCTTGACCTTTACCTGTCATAACGTAGAGTACTGAGCATGCATTGATAGTAATAAAACACACAGGGCAAGTGGTGGCACAGTGGGTATATCCCACTGCCTTAACATCTGAACTATGTCAGTTCAAGCCCCGCGCTGGTGTGAGCAGCCAGCCTGTTGTCCCCAGCTCATCGTCCACCCAGCGATTCGAAAGCTCCGGCGAGTAGATAAAATGGGAACCGCTCCTTAGCGAGGGCGGGCACGCCAATCTTCCTTCTGGAGGGCG